ATATATCAAATTTGAACTGCTTTTGACATATAACTGTAGTTGTCTGGACATATATTGTTGCAGCTCTGTAGAGATATTTATGAGTGATATAGGGTTCTTCGGTTTATAATTGATAGATTTAGATGGTGACCCTGGAATGGATGCAAGTTATTCCTAGGGGACAAATTTGCACTTGTATCTGGAACTTAAGTACTTTGAATATCTATATTCCATTATTTTCTATTTCTAAAGAATTATGAAAACAAGACCTCAATCATTGTGTCTCTTTGTCATTACATCTGACATCTAAAAGAAAATTTGGCAATTAATTAAATAATTTTTCATTAATAATTGCAACTTGCACATGCACATTTTTCCACTAACTAAGAAAAAGCATGAGGCTTTAAAACCATATAGATGTAAACTCTGTCCCTGTAGTGGAAATATGGGGGTTGAGTTAAACACTTGGTCTTTAGTAACCTTTTGGAATGTTTTTACTGTTAAACCCATGACAATGAACTTCTTTTTTATATAGTCTGTCCTGTGATTCCCCAAAACAATAGATATCTTTCTGAGTTTTTTGACCTATATTCTCATATTGCACACAATCTCATATTGCCCTATTGGCCAATCTTAATCTTATACATCGATTATTTTAGTTACTATTCATGTAAAGTTGGACTTTTTTAGAACTTTCCCCTTGTTTTTCAGTGCAATATGACCTTTGAATTCAGACAGGCTTGTCTGAGCCCAGCTCTGTTACTGACTGGCTCTATGACAACAAGAAAACCCTTGAACCTTTCTGAGTCTGGATTTCTGCATCTAAAAATTGAGGATGAAATGAAATTGTTGTAGGGTTGTTGCAAGGATTACATTATATAATACATATGAAGTGCTTGATACAGTGACTGAAACATACACATACTTAATAAGTTGGTCATTGCTGTTTATGTTGTTACTGTGTACTTGGTGTCTTCTCTAGTGATCAGTCTAATTCAGTCTCACCAGCACTTGGTGAGAACCTTATGCTTTGCTCAGGCCCCACACTAGAGGCACATTCAAAGATGAACAAGCCCTAATTAGCATCCTGAAAGAATTCACCCTAAGGTTTTATCACCATTATTTCTTACTTTACATTTGCTTGTGGTATCCAACCCCTTACTCCACCCAGGGGAAATATTTTTAAAGCTTTTTCCAATCATCTTTGGACTTTGAGAGACTTTTGGTCTGTGGTGACTGGGAATTCTCACTTGGAACTCTTTGTTCAGGCCTCTGTCAGAAAAGAACACACACACACACACACACACACACACACACACACACACACACACTATACTAATTTAGGAAAATAACATTTGGCAGGAACTTGGCAATAATTAACCTTTGTTGCCAGAATTCTTGTTCACAGTGTGGGAGGCTCAGATGACAATTAAATGCATTTTCCTATAAATTCTCAGTAGTATGCTTAGTTTTTATTGGTGGCTAATAGCTACCCTATCTCTAAGGCAACCAAAATTCACAGCTTGCATAATAGGCGGATCAGCATACATAAATATCATGTTGCATTGTTGGAGCCCAGCTCCATTTCTCATCATTTTTGAGTGACATTGGACTTATCTATATTTTTTTTTCCACTTAGTGCTTTGTCATTCAGTACTTTCCTTCTATCTGAAAGACCAAGATACCTATTTAATAAAAAACAATACCTACTATTTTGAGTGCCAACTGAGTTATGAGCTGTACTCAGAACTTCATATTCATTATCTGATTTAATTTGCACAGCTCTTCAAGGTAGGTATTAGTATTCCCATTTAAAAGATGGTGAAAACAAGATTTAAAGATAAGCAAGTGCTTAGTTTAAGGTGATTCAGCTGGAAACTGATGGATGTGAAGAGTCCTCTGAAATATTTGTCTGAGGCCAAAGCCCGCAATTGTTCCTTCATACTCTGTGGACTTTATTAAGGTAAGGTGCTATCATGTTTTTAGATACTCTCATTGTACCTGTCATCACACAATGCATTTCCAGAAAATTACTGATGCATCTATTCAGCTCCACAGCTCACACTTGAGCATTTTCTGTTCAGTACAGGAACATTAAGAAGATAATGCAGAAAGACAAAGGACAAAATACTTCCCTGTCTCCTTCCTCAGCTGCTGTGTGGTGCCAGGTAAAATATTTAAATTTGTTTTTGTCATGTTTTTGAGTTACCAAAGATGTTTACTTATATACACACACAGCTTTTTATATAATTGAAGACAAAGGTAAAGGTTGGCCAAAAGCTGTGAACTGGAGCAGGGAAAAAACATGAGATGCATTAGTTGTTTGCTCTTAATTTGCGGTTTCTGATCTTGTCTGTTTCTTTGTAGGTTTATAGCCTAGTGGGAGGAGCCATACACATTAGCACAAATGATATTTTTAACAAATATTTTCAACTTTGTCTCCTCTGATATATTGCTATAGATTTGATTAAATACTGTATTTGGGCTTAATGTGAAAAGATGTTTTTCAAGGTCCAGAATTTGGCAACTATTTTCTTTTAGCACACACTTTGTGACAGCATGGATGGAACTAGAGAGCATTATGCTAAGCGAAAAAAGCCAGGGGGCAAAAGACAAATACCATATGATCTCACCTATAAGCGGAACTTAACCAACAATACAAAGAGGCAAGGAAAATAAGACCAGCAACACTGAAAGGAAAAGAAACCAACAGAGACAAGAGGGAAGGAGGGGGGGGGGGAAGGAAAGGAAGGGGGAAAGTCAAGGAACATATAGCAAGGACTCATGGACAAAACCAAAGAGGTAGAGTTGAGGGAGGATGGGAGGGAGGGAGGGGGCAAGGGAAAGTGGTGGGGGGTAGGTAGAGACAAATGTAGTTGAAAAAATAAATTAATTAATTAAAAAAAGAAACCGGATACAAATGTATTTGAAAAAATAAATTAACTAATTAAAAAGAAGAAAAAAGAAACCAACAGAGACAAGAGGGAAAGAGAGAAGGATGGACAGGGAAAAGGAAGGAAAGGGTCAAGTCAAGGAACATATAGCAAGGACTCATGGACACAGCCAAAGTGGGGAAGGGAGAGGGAGAGGGGCGGGGGGGCAGGGGAAAGTGGTGGGGGGTAGGCAGAGACAAATGTGTTTGAAAAAAAAGAAAGAAAGAAAGAAAGAAAGAATTAAAAAAAAATAAAGATCATTTCATTATCTTCTGGATTCTATTGTTTCTCCTGAAAAGTCTATTATAGGTATAGTTTTTGCTATTCTGAATGTGATATAGTTCCCTCGTTACTGCCTTCAGCTCTCACCCCTGGCTACTTTTAAGATTTCTTTTTGTTTTTAGTTTTCAGCATGTTGACGTATGATGTTGTCATACTGATGTAACTCTGAGGTATTTAAAAGTATTTTTTCTCTTTTGTATTTACCCTACTTTAAATTTATGGAGTTTCTTAAACATGTGGAGTAATGTTCTAACCATTTTGGAAAAATTGTTGGCTAATTCCTCTTCAAATATAGCTTTTGGTCCTTTACATCTTTCTTTTTCTCTCTTCTCCTTAAACTACAGTTACTAATAAGTTAGATCTTTTTCACTGTGTCATGTATTTCTTATGCCCTTATATTTATTTTCTACATTTTTTCCTTTGCTTCAGTCTTTTAACTAACTGGTTTCCCAATCATTAATTCTATCTGCTGGTTCTGTTTTGTTTATCATTGAGTACATCTTTGAATTCTTAATTTTGATAACTATATTTTTAATTTCTAACCTTTTGATTTTTAATAAGTTGTTATAAATATAAGTTACCCATCTTTGTCATCTATTTTTGTGACTGTATTAATCATAGCTATTTAAAAATTCTATCTGATAACAACAATACTTAGATCACTTGTGGGTCTGTTGCTATTGTCTACACTTTCTCCTATTTTTCATTCATTTTGTTCTATTTATCAACATACTTGATAATTTATGATTGAATATTGCAGATAAAATCATATATTCTCTAGTAATGTTACTTTTTATCACAGAGTATTTACTTTTTATTCTGACAGATACATAAGGGCAGATCATCTTGATCCAATAAGGGGTTGAGATGCTTCAACTCTTTATGTGGGCTATTCTATTTCTAGTTTTCTCTTATTATCAGGGCCTACATCTTCAGGTGTTTCTCTTTTCTTTCAGATACCATGAGTTTTCTGAAAGCTCTGCTAAGTTTTGTTGCCTCTTGGCTGATACTCTCCTACTGGCTTCTCAGATTCATTGCACAGTTTGGGAGCTGACAAATACCTCAGGATGAAATGCAATGCAGGACCTTGTGCTCAATTATCTGTGATTTCTGTGTCTCCAAATTCTTGGATTCTTTAGTACTGCTGCCTTGGTAGTCCTGGATTCCAATTTCCTCTCCTTTGTTCTGTGACACCTGATGGAAGCTGCTTTCTGCCTGTGCTGGTGTTGTTTAGGATATAGCAAATGCTTCAAGGGGAAAGCAAAAAAGAATTCAGAGCTCACCTATGTTGTTGTTTTTGTTGTTTTCTGAGATCATTCTTCTTCAAATCTTGGATGACTTGGGTACTGTCTTTTGTCTTTCAACAACTGCTTTTGTAATTTCTTCAGGTTTCATAGCTGTTCTAAATAGGTTGGTAAGATTGAACCAGGCTACTACTACTTCAGAGCTAGAAATAAATGTCCTATCTTAATAATTTTGAGTTAAGAGCTCCATTTCTTTTTTAGTCTCATTTAACCTACTCAGATGATTAAATACTTGTATTTAGGTCACAGCACTAAAAATAAAATAAGAAAATTGTGTTTCATTCCATACTCAAGTATAAAATGTTGTGATAATGACTTTCTGGTCTCAATCCCCCCATCTGTAAAATGGGCACTCCTTTTTCATTTATATAATTGTCAGGGCCACTGAATCTAAAGAAAATAGAGATTTTTTTTCCTGAAAAAAGGTGTTATTATTCTTCCATATCCTCTTTAAGTTAGTTTCATGTGGAAATTGAAAAATGAATTCTTTTTTTTTTAAGGATTGCTTTTTATTTCTGCTGGGAGATTTCCCTTTGGAACTCCCATGTTGGTTCTGAGAGGATGACATGGAAGAGCCACTTGAAGAAAAGGAAGATGATGATGCCATACAAGAATTAGATGATGGTGTAGTTTTCAATGAGCTTGAGGAGCCTAACCCTGAAGATGACTTCATGCCAGTGCTTGAACCAGTTCCAGATGTATGAGAATGACCAGAACATGAACTGATAGGGAACTTGGCTTTGGAGGATTGGAGAGTCCTGGGAATGGGCTTCATTGGAGAGGCGAGCTTATCAGAGCCTCCAGGTGGCCTTAAATGAGAAGGGGATATGTTTGGTTTACTTAAAGGATTCATAAGTGATGATGGCTTTTCTTGAAGTTTCATCTTGGTGCTGCTGGAGCCACTGCTCAGTTCATGCTTCGTAATGGGAGAGGAGCCTGGCTTTCCCCCAGACTGGGATGAATTTTTGGACTGGCTAGACCCAGAAGACCCTTGGCTAGAATATATGCTGCTACTTAACTTGGAACTTGAATCTTCGGATTTACTGTTTTTAATCTTGCCTGAGTTGAAAGCAAAAGATGAGGAAGAGGAGGAGGAAGAATAGCTATGGTGGCTTTTGCTGCCTGAGGAAGACACAGAACCATTTCTGGCCTGTTGACTGTGAAAATAGGGCTTGCCCACCATCACAGTTCCCTTAGGAATCTGAATAGTGATTTTGGGAATAGATAGTGTGGCAAAACCTGGGGGAGTCTGAGATCTTCCTGAACTGCCTGGAGACTTGGATCCATCTATACTGGTAGATGGGGTGAAAGGTTGGTTAGAAGAACTGTGAGATGGGGACTTCCCCTCAGTGTCTGCCTTCTTCTGTTCTGGAGGCTTATCTTTGCTTTTGCCATCATTAGAAGGGGTCCTACTGAACTTCCCTTGTTTGCTATCTAATCCTGGCCCTGACAGACTACTATTACTGGTGCCATTGCCTTCCTTCACTCTCTTTTGAGTCTCGTCTTTCCCTAAGTCCCCAGTGGTCAGTAAAGGACTCTGGCTACCACTGTGATGCTCCAAAAGATCTGCAGAACCCCAAACCTTACCAGCCACTGCTGTAATACTGAAATTGACTGTGTCAGCTTGGCTATTGCCTTTAAACTTAGTCTCCTCATTATGACCTCCACGCATTGGCACCCTCAAAATTCTTAGTGTCTGAAATGCACATCCTTTAAAATCATCATTATCTCCACTTTGGTTGCTTTAATCAAAGTATTCTTCTCCAAACCACTTTGGCTCTGGCTGTTCAACAAATAAGGATTGAAATCTACTCCATCAGAAAAAAAAAATGATTGGTAGGAGAGTCACTACTGGGGCTTCCAGCAGCATCTGCAATAGGTCAGCTGGATCCATGTATGGATTTTCATTGTTATTGGTTTGAAAGATATCAGGGGTATCAATGGGTGGGCAATCATCACTAGTGCTGGGAAGCTTAGAGGCTTCTTCTGCAAAGTCTGAAAGGAGATCAGTTACATCTGGGCTGATGCTGTCTGAACTGGATAGTCGGACTATCCTTTGAATACTGGGCTGGGGCAGAGGTACTGGTTGTGGGTAAGTTGTCAGGGGAATACTACAGTGGCTTGGAGCTGGAGTTATGTGTGGTGTATCCAGTGTATCAGCTGTCATGTTGACATCAATGATAGGGTTCTGTGAGTCAACATCCATTGAAAATAGCTCCCTCTGAAAGTCATCTTCAGTCTGGTGCTTGGGTTTGTCAGGTAGTAATCTTGATGATTTCTTCTTTGTCTTGTTGCTTCTCGAGCACATTTCCATCTGGGGTGAGCCAGAAGGGGAGTTCTGCCTTTCTAAAGGACTGCATCCATAAAGGGTTGAGAAATCCTGGGCAGGATTATCTTTAAGAAGGTTCATGAACATTGAGTGGTTCTTGGTGTTGCTGGCCATCAAAGAGACAGGTAGCAGCATGTGATGAGGAGGGGTTGGACTCGAGCCAAGGGTAGACTCCCAGTTCCCTGTGATTTGCAACAAACTGGTAAGAATTGGGTTCTGAGACACCTTGCTGAAGTCCTCCCCATGGCCAACTGACTCATGTTGATCTTTGATGCTCATGTTCATATTAAATAAGGTGGGACCCCCCTGAAAGGTGTTGGTTGGTGTAGTGGTACCACTCATTGGGTTGTTGCCTGTGGTCTGCTAGCTGGGGGCAGGAAAAATGAATTCTTAATAAAAAATATTGCTATAACAACCACCAGCAACAGTAATTCTCACATTGTATGATGCCTGTGTTTATCATCTCTCCAACCATTAAAGAAAACCAAAGAGAGGAATGAGCAGATGTTAACTCAGTGTGAAATTGTAGTCAGACTGCAACTTATGTTGAATTTGTATTTTCTTTACAGACTTGGCTTGCACAGCATTTGGAATAGATTTCAAGATATTTTCAGAGTAAAAATGAAATGGATTTGTTCACAGAGGTGACTCTTACCTAGATCATATGTGTCCATCAGATGCCACAGAGAGCTATGAGAGTAGATATGTGCCTGTTTTTTTGAGCACTGCTAAGTACATAAGTAGGTAAGCTGTTAATGTATATATAATCTTGGTAATCTTAGTAAGCCAAAATTGAGTCTAGGTTAATCTAATGTAAAAATAACACTTTCCTCTCTTATTAATAGGCTAGTTATTATCTAATGCTTGCTGTGGGTTCAGGGCTCCAGAATAAGTCATGCTTTGATGATAGGGTGGTTTGAGTTGTGCTGAGTTATTCATAAAGGGCCTGGACACAGAGTTTTGGTCGGCCTCAGGTCTCAGCTGAGATAGGGCTTATCAGATCCTCAGTCTTGCTTATCTCACGCAGGAGGAGGCACAGGAAATCTTGTATTGAATGTAGCAAGAAACACTGTGTGGTTGCAGTAGGGCAAAGAATAAACCATCTGAAAAAATATTATTTCTTCTTCTAGTTCCACTAATATATTTTGTCCCATTATTAATTCAAGTCATGAACTAGAATGAAAGTCAAGATATCCTAGAGATTAACCCTAGGGTATACAAGGTCTGTCTAGAAGGTATCTCACCATGTAATATGAAAAATAGAGACATTTATTGAAGAAAACACAAGATACAAGAAGCATTGTACATAGGAAAGTGATGCTTCAGTCCCCTTCAAAGTAGGCACCTTGGGATCTCACATAGTTCTTCCAATCACCATCAGCTGCCACATCGTATTTTCCTGAACTTCATCAACACTCTGAAATCTCTTCCCTTTCAAAGGTGATTTTAGTTTTGGGAGAAGCCAGAAATCACAGGGCACTAAATCTGACCTATAAGGGAACTGAGTCACCTGGGTGATTTGATGTTTTGACAAAAACTCAGCATAAGACATGATCCATGCACAGGCGCATTGTTGTGAGGAAGCTGCCAATCACCAGTTGCTCATACCTGTGGCCACTGAGTCATCTGAATAGTTTTCTTGGAGGAATATTTGAGCTTAATGCAAAATTTGATGCAGGTTTGTTGCTCTACTCACCCAGTCTTTTTGAATGTGACAGCCACACAGTACACCTGCTCACTCAATGATGTCTACTGCTAGATGAACTCCACTGACTAGTATGGTGAAGTTGCCATTTTTCATGCATGCATATTCCAGTCCACTCTTCCTGGCTTCTAGGTTGCATTGATGTGGTGCAAACCACTCTCATTATATTAACAATGGCTGGAATTTTTCTGGACAGACATTGTATATACACCATAGTCCTTCAAGTTCAGTAGTCCTCCATATATTTTAAAATATTCCCCAGTATAGGGGCTCTATGTCCTTCTCATTTTGACAATGTCTCATGGCCCACTACATGGGACCAGGGAAGATCTGAGCTGGAAGAAAACCAGGGAAAATAGATTTTGAATTTCTGATGGAGGTGGAGGTAGAGGCTATTTCCCCTGACCTCATTGACTGAATTTGTTCAGCAAGATCACTCTTGTAACACTTCAAATAGGCCCAAGCAAGATGAGAGAAGGCATGTGTCTTACCCATTTTTTCATCTTTCATGCTTAGCACAGTGCCTGACACAAAGGAGGCACCCAACAGGTGCTGAACTGAATGAAGAGGCTTTAGAATATGTCTCAGCATAAGCAGGGGTATTTCCATTCAAAGAACAATGAAAAGATATACTGTGCCTGCCTTCTCCTCTACCCAGGTGCAAAGCCTTTCTTTTATTACCCAAGTCTGATGATCTAGTAAAGCAATAAAATGACTGGCTATTTTTTTACATTACATGTAATTTATTGATATCTGTTGCAGCCTTTGATCTCAATAAGATGTGAAAGGAGAGAAGAGTGATGAGGTATGCATGGGGATGGGTCAGCTGGAGAGATGGCTAGTAACAGGTTGAAGGGAGAGAAACATGAAGAGCAGGAGGTTAAGGCTGAAGATACAATTTGATGTGTGTTCCAGTTTGTAACCTGCAGCTGTTGCCCAGCAATACAACCTGGGAGAAGGTATTTGAATGTTGGTCTTGCCACAAGAGCCCACGTTTTATTATTATCTATATTCTCTGCTGGGGAAAATGGAAGTTCTTTTAGTCCCATTGGAAAGTAAGTCTTATCCTCTTTATATTTTAGGCACTTCAGGGAATTTTGCTGTGCTCTAAATTTGGGTACTTTTTCAGATTACTTTCAGATGATCTGGAATGATGGCTGGTCTCTGGTGGGTTTACTTTTCTGTTAGAGAGCTCCAAGGTGCAACTGTTGTGGATGATATTTGTTTTGTTTGATTTGTGAAGATTTGGACCTTGTCCTTTACTGTCATTGTCTCAAAGGATTTAATCAAAGGCTATATGGAAGTAATGTCAACTAATTAGCTGTTTAAGTTACAGGGTAACTCTCTCTTAGTGCCTCAAATCTTTCACCTGAAACACAAACATGCATTAATTGTCAAGGAAGATGAGAAGTATATCAAATCATTTGCTGAGTTAAGGCCTCCCTGTTGACATAAGTACAGGAGCCCACAGGCTTGTGCAAGGTGGCTTGCAGCTGCAGATCTACTGTGCCGCAAGCAAGCTATCCAGCTGACAGCAGGTGAGTAACAAGTCTGATCTCAAGCAGGTTCACGAATGAGAGCACTATGATCTTGGCTCAGTTGCATTGTCTCTCTGCTCTGTTCATGGACAGTACTTGTTACAATCAGACTGCACACAACTCCTTTCTCAAATCAGAACTTTCAAGAGAAATATGAGATGGGATTTAAATGCACTTTGTTTATATTTTTAATACTTGTTTGTGGTTTTATAAAGGGGCCTTCTTTCATTCAGCCAATAACATTATTTTAGCACCAAGTATGTACCAGATAACATAGATACAAAGATCTGAATCCTACCAAGAAAGGGCTTGCAGCCCAGAATTGGAAAGAAATAGGAGATAATTACAAAACATCATTTAAAAAGTGTCTTGATAGGCAATGCTCTAAGTTTGGCACTTTACTAAGTGGATGGAGGTGAGGAGGTAGAATCAAGGGCTTTATACCACAGACTTAAATGAAGAAAAGAACTGTGTGGGTATTGACAGATATTGCCATATTTATATATGACTGATTTGGCTTAAAATCTGAGTGTGGCTCATATGAAAATTACCAGGCTAATATTAGCCACATTCATTTGCATTCAGGCTGTGGGCAGTCTACCTCTCTCCAGCTTCTTAATGTGTCTAACAATGCTGTTTGTATAGCCTTCACAATGAATCTGTTTCCCTTAACATTTTTCTGGATGATGAGATTATCCAATGTTGATGTTTACTAGTTTCAACATTAGCCATTATCTGGTTTGACACATATCATCTGTTTAACTCTGTATTTGTGCAATATAAACCAATTGACTTGAAGTTTTATAGTTCACATGTGTAGTAATTTGGACAGAAGTTGAACTGATTCACTTTGAACTACTAGCCAAAGGTAGAATTTGACAAATAAATCGATAATTAAAGAAAATTACAAGGGCTTATTTAATACTCTCAAAGAAAACCAATCATTTTAAAGCCTTTTAACTTGACAAGTATCCATTTTCTTTGAAAAGGATAAGAATTTTATTTCATATATTTTCCTGAAGAGCTACACATAAGTATCAGAGTCTAGTTCTATTATTCAAATTTTTAAAAAGATACTCAAATTGAACTTTTTAAAAAATCTGTAAGATTTTTTTCCAAATCATAGTGTAAATTAAGGTCATTTAATCGTTTAATTGAATTATTAATATTAACAGAATGATTCAAATAAGGATCAAGTTGGTTGATGTAAGAGAATTGTTCTTAAACTTTCTAAGGACATGAACCTTATGGACAGGCAGACTTACATCATAGTCGTAGTGGAAGGAAGGTTAGTTGCGACACGGACAAGTGATTTTGAAACTTCACCCAAAGACCACACATGGAACAGCAGGGACTGGAAGGGACCCTGAACCCTTTATTGCTCTCATCAGACCCCCAACTCTGGCTCCATGAAGCTACTTTGCAATGCTGTTCCCACTACCACTTGGTGGCCACAGTGGTTCCCTGGAATGAGTGGCAGCTCTCCATATCCACTGCTGGGCCCCACGTGTTATTCTTATTTTGACCCACTCATAATCAATTGTCCTTTAAGGTGGAGGGTTCATTGCTGAAGCCAAATGCTTGCAGATGAGTTGGGTGGGATCCACATCCCATAAGTGACTGTGACCTGAGTGAACCATACCTTCCTTCCACCATGTTCACTGGGCTCCTAATCCCAGGACCTTGGTCCTGACACTCTCTTCTACCAGTCTTTCTTTGAGTGTCCTGGTGCTATGTGGCCTTGCCCCACTCCAGGCCCCGGTGGGTGTGTGCATGTGTTCATGTTTTTGCAGTCCTTCTTCATGGCCCTTCTGCAGCATGCAGTGGCTGAGTGTGAGCTCTGGGGTTGGTCTGTCTAGATAGGAAACTTATTGTCGCTTTCCAGCTGTGTGACTTGGGGCTGAGTTTCTCATCTCTCTGTGTAACTTTTCTTTCACCTATAAAATAGGATGATACTAGTACTTACCATCTGGGGTAATTTGAGGATTAAATGGGTTAATACACTTGAATCACTTACAACAATGTTTGGCCATGGTAAACAGTCACTAAATATTCATTATTTAACTTGACAAATTAACAATATTCATACTATTCATTATGATCTTTATGTCCAAACTGTG